ATATCAATATGTAATACAACAAGCATTGTTAATTTCCTACCACTTTGTTTGTAACTCTGTATTGTCTGTACTGTTGTTTTGTTAGTTTGTAAAAGGTTGCCTATCTGTTAATGTTTTCCTCCTTTTATTTTTGAAATAATAAAAACAAAGAAAAAAGACAGGAAGAATTAGTTAGACATTTTAGAATGTCCCAAAATGGGTGAGAATTAAACTATGACAGATTGAAAGGATATAAATTATGCAGGCATAATAATCAGCATGAATATACATAATACTTTTTATGTAAGGAAATTACATTGATGAAAAAGAGAATAATGCTAATTGGACCATTCATATTTTTGTGAAGAAAAGACAAGGTGTTTTCAATGCTACAATATAAATATTATGGCCACTGCATTTGCATATCTAAACAATATGATCTCTTAAAATAGTAAAATTAGATGCTTCAATATAAGATTGATGTGAAATACATGAATTGATTATGTGTAACCATTCTTATTTTCCAAAAGTTCTTTCCTTTTTTCTTCTCAGCTTAGCAGGAGTGAAAATTGTCTCCTGATCCCTGAACTCCTATTCCTGGTGGCTACATCAGCCTAGGTGTGGAAACTCAGCATTGCAAGTGTGTTGTTTTAGCCTCAGACAGAGCTCATGATGCAGGGGTCCAGAGCAGGGCCAAGTGCAAACGCAGCCTGATTCTCTGAGCATATGTGGGGACAGCAGAGGAGGACAGAGGATTAAGTATCTCACCCTCTCCTCCCAGGAAGAGAAACAGATCCTACATCCTTGAACTATTCTTGAAATCTGACGATGCTTCCTATCTGATCAGATTCTCACTCCCCAGTGTATTCAGGTGATGTCTGATCACACCGGGCTGTCTTCAGTTAGAATCCTCTCGGGGTGGTTCAACCAGACGCCCTCACTGTCCCTGCTCCATGCTCCTCCTTAGCTCTAAGCGCACACGAGCCCGTCCATCATTCAGAGTCCACCTCCCCAAAGCACATTTCAGTGCATTCTATACTGAGGGTTCTGTGCCGATCAAGTAAAATTCTTTGTATAACTTTCAATAAGTGACATGAGTAATTAGTCCTCTCACAGTGTTTAGGAGATTTGAGTAGAGTTCTCTGAGTCAAACACTCAAAAATGTTCTGACCTGTTACCAAGTAGGAACACTCAGTAGCAGGTACCAGAATCAAGCTTTGTATATTAAGCACATCTGTAACAACACACATTTTAGAAAATGATGGAAGAAAAACATACATTCAGGGTATAATGACAAATATCTGCAATGCCAGCTGCTCAAGAAGCATAAGCAGAGGAAACTCCTGAGCCCAGGATTTTGCTGGCAGCAGAGTCAGTAAGTCCCAGTCTCACAAACCATGCAAAAGTGAGGAAAGCGTCTATGAATGAAAATAAATGCAAACATCCAAATGTTATAAAGAGTGTGAGGTAGGTAGAGACCCCATCTCTGAAAGAAAAAGGCCCAAATTCCTTACGCTGCTGTCCCTGCTACCAAATAGGCTGTAGCCTTAAAGAGAGTACAGTTACAGCTGCTTAATGTGGGACCTGGATTCACGAATCACAAAAGCCTCTATCACAAGGTTAAAAACAATAAAACATAGTTTAAAAAACTGTTAGCAACTAGTGCATACATGATTAGACAGGAGAGAGAGAAAGCACAGGAAAAGTTACATCACCAGGTCAGAAGAGCTTCCACACCTGAAATTCCAATTCCAGGGCTGAGTGGTCCCTTCAGAAGGTTTCCAGGGTTCTCATTGGGAAGGGTCTGTCCTCTCTACAGATGAGATCCCAAAGTCCTCCTACGAGTCAGGCCCCTTAAATACCAGTTGACACAAAAGTGGCACTGTCCAAACTTTGTGCATGACCAGAAGCAAAGAGTCTGCAGCCCCCACAAACTGGCCAAGTACCCGAGGGATCAAATTTCTGCATCTTCTAGACAGGTGAGAAAGAAACTCCTTGGGATCTGGTCAGGCTCACAGAGTTTCTGCTCACATCAGCATGTCCACCAAGCATCCTGATGTGTAATCTTCAGAACAAGGCCTCAGCACCGTGTATGACCGAGGATTTAATTTTAACCCTTCTGGTATGCAATTTTAACCCTTCATGTGGGCAGCTGCCACAGGAACACTGTGGGTCTGCACCTTCTGTAAGACTCAGTCAATCACTGTTCCACTGACGTCTCCTTTGCTCACAAAAGCACAAGTCATTTGCTAGAATTCTCACACACTTTGGAAAATTCACTAATTATATGTTTGGCATGAGAACTGATACCATAGTACCTGAAGAGAGAAAATGTACACATCTCACTGAGGAGGAATCACATTGGTGGGGAAAAGTCTCACAGATGACTCACCCCTTATTCTGGGTTCAGCTTTCAGTGGCAGGAGTCCTGGAGCACCCAGAAGTTTATTTGAAATAGTAACTGAATGATGACAGGAAGAAGTTTCTCCAAGCAGAAGGGGTAGAAATGTCAGAAATTCAATAGGTAAGAATGTAAGGATGTTTATAGTTAGAGAAATAGAGAAATAGCAAAACCTTCATTTTATTAGGGAACATTTGGCAATAACCACTGAGCATTCAATTCAATGCAAGGGGTTCAACTGTTTGAAAAACATCACTTAGTGCCATGCAGTGGTATCTCGGTAAGAGGAAGGGCGTGGACCATGAGTACGGTGGAGAGTGGGGTCTTGCTCAGGTTCCAAGTCTGAGAACGAGAAGCTAGAAGCACAAATATCAGAATCTTCTCTTCCCACACTCACAAGTGTAAAAAGAGGCCAAACTTATGGGTAGTCCTGTTGTGCATATGTGAGTGGGCAGAACAGGTGACACTGTAGAGAATATTGATGCAATATGGATGCGTAGCCATTATCTATCCTGATGCCCAGAAAGAAAACATAAATGAAGAAGACACTTACGGAAAGTAATAGAATTCTCTAGTAGGCTTTATATCAAAGATACCCGTAGAGTAGATATAGTAAAAAAGAGACAAAAAACACCCAATTACCACGTCTCCATCCTTGCGCACACTGGTGCTCCTTTGACGAAGGCAGGCTTCATTTTCTAAACTACACACTAAGGGAGAAAGCTGCAGAAGAAGAAAGATAAAAATCAAAGTGAACATCTTAGATGCATATGCAAAGATTTAGGCTGAGTGAAGAGGAAACTTGCAGTGACAGCCAGGTAAATAAATGTGTGTGTGTGATTCAGAGTTACATTGTTTCTGACTCAGGTGGACACTCTGATGCCCCAGCTCCTGTCAGCAGTGCCTGCTCCATGTCCCTGGAGAAGTTTGCCACCACTGTCCCCTGGGCTCTGCACCTGAGGTTTAGTGTCATGGAGAAAAACACAAGACAGAAATTATGCTCGCATATCATTTTCTCTGCCTGGAGCCACCATGATCCAGATGGCTGAGCTGAATTTAATCCAACTCCACTGATAACAACATCCCAGGGGCCACTTCCTCCTGGGTAGACTTGCTCCTAAGTCTTTGTCAATAAGCCACAGTTACAGATGCCATTAGAAGTGTTGCTAGTGGGTTGCACTAGAGGATTTAATATTAGAGTTCTCTTGAAAAAGTCTGAAAATCCTCAAGGTCAGCCAAAAAATATTGGACATTGTGCCTTCCAAAGTGAAAGATTGGGAGCTATCACCCGACAGGTCCATGGTCGAGAGTTGGAGCCACAGAACTTCCCCTGTATACCCGTGTTTTCTGCCTACCAGGCACATGTGCTGAAACTCACAGCCGCACATGCTTTCCAGTGCTTGGGGTAAAAATAATTGCACTACAGCCAGGAAACCCAAGTTAGTGACTGAGCATCAGCACAGAAATACAATGTCCTTTTGAGTTGTACAATTTAGGCGACTTCCCTGCTGCTTCCTTCTTTCAAGTATCTTCATTCCATGATTCAATATATTCTCTGAATCCATTTCTGCTCCTACAGCCTTGAGTTCCTCCAGGGCTTAGGCTTTTCTGAGAACGTGAATGTGTGGCAAATTTCTCTGTTTCCCTCACCCTGAAGCAGAGGAGCCAAGCTGAAAATGACCTCTCTTATTCCCATCACTGAACTTCTTGAGGAGCAGGGAAATGCAGGCAACATTTACAGCCCCAAAACTCAGTGGAATTTTCATTGCAGGTAGATGATTCTGAATAATACTGTTTTAGTTCAATGCACACCATATATATTTGTCAGTATCTAAATCAGCAGCACAAGAGTGAGACTCAATATGTACTTAGACTTCACTTATGTATAGGTATCAGTATTGCTTTATGAACTCTGACAGAATAGCAATAGAAGGCCTGTTAATGGAAGAAAACATTGATTTTTGTAAGGATAATATTTAAGAATTAAAGTATATAAATTGTGAGAAAATATTTATTCTCCAACTTGGAAGATGTTGGCCTCATGTCTTCATTAGCATTTGAAAAGTAGCTAGTCAAATGAAGGTGGGATGTAAGTGCAAAATATTCAAAGATTTTTAAAAGTTTTTCATAATTTTATTAATTTTTAATAATTTAAAAAATTATTTTAGTATCATGATTTTTAATAATTTTATAGTAACTAGCAGAATAATATATTGAGTCTATTGGGTTTAATACACTGTATAAAGATATTCTTAAATGAAAGGCTTTTATATTCCTTAACCTGGATATTGCAAGTTTTACCCAGTGAAAGCACAAACGTAATTGACAATATGGCTGAGTCCTCCACATAAATGCATGACTTGTCAAACTGCAGGCTTCTTCTCTAATTTGGCTCAGATTATTATCTGGATTGAACTGTGCTTCAACTGTAATGATGAGGTCTGAAGGCTGCTACTTTTGAATGTTATCTAACTCAAAAATAAGTTGAGCTTAGAAGTTAAGATGAAATCATTAGGGCAGACCCTGATCCAATATGCCTATGTCTTTCTAACAGGAAGACACCATGTAAGACTCTGGCTCATAATAATTTTTTAAATGGCTGAGGAAGTAGCTAACTGAAGAGTTCGTGTTGAACATGCACAAGACCTTGTGCTCAATCTCCTGTGCCATAACAAGTAAACTGAATTTCTAAATTCCTAAGTATACTATAGTATGTACTGACACCAATCCAGGAAATCACTCCGTTAATGACTACTTTTAATAATTCCTCCAATGTGATAAGACATGTAACACAACAGAGGACAATGTTTGATCAGAAATACTCTTCTGCA